TCAGCTGGAAGGGTCTTAGTTACACACTCTGCCCTCGGAGCCACCATACACTGTGTTCTCCAGGGACAGGGTGACCCTACACCCACACCTGGCTTTCCTACCCAAGGTAGTGTCTCCATTCCACATGTCTCAAGAGATCTACCTCCCAGTGTTCTACCCGAAACCTCACAGGGTGGAGGGGGGGAGACAACAGGCACTACACATGCTAGATGTCAGGAGAGCGCTGGCATTTTATTTGGATAGGACAAGGCAATTTCGTAAGTCCATGCAGCTTTTTGTCTCGACTGCGAAGAGAATGTAGGGTTGTCCGGTGTTAGCACAGTGTCTTTCCTCGTGGATTACTGCATGCATCAGAGCGTGCTACAACCTAAGGGGAAAACCAGTGCCCCATATCATGGCCCATTCGACCAGAGCCTGGGTATGGTCCACAGCATTCTTGGCTCAGGTGCCAATTCTGGATATCTGTAGATCGGCCACATGGTCATCAGTACATATGTTCACCACACATTATGCAGTCACATAGCAAGCTAGGCAGGATGCGGCAGTGGAGACAGCTGTGTTGCAATCAGTCTCAGTCTAGACTTCCGACCCCACCTACATTGTTATAGCTTGGGAATGACCTAGTGGAATGGATATAAGCAAGCACTCAAAGAAGAAAAGATGGTTACTTACCTCGTAACTGTTGTTCTTCAAGATGTGTTGCTTATGTCCATTCCAATGTTGCCCGCCTCCCCTTCGTTGGATTATCCAGTAATAAGGAACTGAGTGGGGTTGGGGCCAGCAGGGGCATATATGCGCGGCTATACCGGCACCACTCTAGGGGGCTCCCTGGATGGCCCAACAGGTACTGTTAAGGGTAAAAAAAAGTTCTGGCAGTTGTGCACGCGGTGTGCGCACACCTAGTGGAATGGACATAAGCAAAACATTTCAAAGAACAACAGTTATGAGGTAAGTAACTGTCTTTTTGTTCTTATGTCCACGTTGGTTTATAACTTGCACAATTCCTTTCCCTCCCTGGGTTTTATCCCGCTGATGCATTTATAGAGAGCAATCAGATATCCCCTCAGCCTTTTTTTTGGTTAGGCTAAATCAGCCAAGCTATTTGAGTTTCCTCTCATAAGATAGGATTTCTGTTACTTAGATCCATCTTATAGCTCTTCTCTGCACCTGTTTGTTTGAATTTTTCTCTCTCAAACATGGGAGAACATAATTGCACACAGTATTCCAGATGTTGCCTCACCAGTGCGTTGTATAATGGTATAATACTTTGCTGTCTCCACTCTATTTTCTTAACTACTTTCTTTTTAACAATTTCAAAGTATCCTAAAAGAGTTAAGCATTCACCTTCCACAAGGTTCAGTGTAAAAAGGGAAGAGGTGGCATATGAAGCTCACTCAAAAGTTGTCAGCTGGAAACCACTGCCTATTTGGGCTTGATTTGAGCTACTGAATTAGTGCTAAAAGTTTCTGCAACCAGTTACCAATCCCTTGAGAGATCCAATCAATGTTTTAGGGCCTCTTTATTCTATTTCTCATTTTTATTCTAGGAATTACCTTCTGCACACTTCTCAGAATGTTGAGTGTTTTGTTTGCTTTCCAAGTATTGAATGGTAGGAAAAACGTGACTAAAACCTTTAACCTTTATTACTTTAGATTAAATCAACATACCGGGGCGGAGGGAGAAGTATTTAGTAGGGAGACACTAGTAAAATCAGAAAAGTATTTTTAAAGCCCTGTTTCTTTACCTGTGTTAGTAAAATGCCATTTCTGCTAGATTTTTTTTTAACTTGGCGTGAGTGTGAGTATGTGTGTGATATGCTTATCAGTTTGTGTTGCTATGCTAGGGTTTCCAACCCTAAAAAAGAATGCAGAAATATCTTCAAAATGAATTCATTTAAAATAAACGTTGTATCTCTTTCCATATTAGGTTTGGCATCTTTGGGTTTAAAATGTTTGACACTGATGAGGCCTCTTTATTTTCTATACACACCCCAAATCCCATAAATATTCAGAAAATGTTTGGTTTTTTAATATAAATTGTCCAATGCCTTACACTAAAATGCAGAATTATTTTCTTTTTCAGCTAATTACTGGAAGTCAGCCTCATCATCTTCTGGTGTTGCTGCAAACATGACTTGACATCCTGATGACTGCGTTCATGGCTTCTGGATGATCTGATGCACGATGGAACTTAAAGTATGGGTGGATGGAGTCCAGCGAATCGTTTGTGGGGTCACTGAAGTCACAACTTGCCAGGAGGTGGTGATTGCTCTTGCTCAGGCTATAGGTATGTTAAAGGATTGGTAGGAATGAATTGCTGATGCATTTTATTAAACCAGATGGAGGCTCACCTAGTCTCCAGAGAGGTGTAATACTCTGGTTTAATTTGGGTTGTTGGGTTTACCAATGTCTTATTGGCCAGACATCAGAGGGTGGAGCTGGTGTCCTGCGGCATACAGAAGGTCAGACTAGATGATCTGGTGAGTGCTTTCTATGTTTGCCCTTCTTCTAAGCCCCTCAAGGTTTGGCTAAAATATATAACTACAATAAGAGTCACTTGGAATTTGCAAAAAAGAAATGTATGCACACATCCTTTTGCAACTGTTAATCTGCTTCCAAAAAGCATTTGATTTTGAAATCTGCAAATGTTCTGCCTAAAGTTATTCTCCACTTAATAACATGATGCTTTTTGTTCTAGTTTGTAAATATAGCCCACATATTTTCTTTAATAGCTTTTAAGGACTAAACTGTTGGTGTTGGTTGCTTAGAACCAAGGGAAAACTAAGTTAGCACAAAATAACTAGCTGCCTTGTATAAGCTGGTGATGTTCGTTGAAATTCTGTGCATTGCAAGTATTCCTGGCTGCCCATTAACAGAGTGTAGTCTCTTCAGTTCTCTTCTTCATGTTACCCTTTCGTTAGCACTTTGAGGTGGGAGGTGTGTCTTGAATATCAGCATAAGAAGTGTGTTTAGTGTTCTGGTTGCTATTTGCTAAAACAATTTATGTAGCCATCATTCATTCAAGTACTTGTAGGGTATGTCTATGCTGGACACTAAGCCCAGGCTCTGATTTGGGTTTTAGCCCCTCCTTTCATCCACACTCACATCAGTCTGACTCGAGTCAGCAAGCACTCAAAATCCAGGTCCCAGGACTTTAGTAGGGACTTGATCAGGGCCTGAGTCCCACAGTGAGTCAGGTCCAAGCTCTGTCATTTTTTGCAGCGTGGCCTCAGGTCTATTCACAGACCCAAGTCAGAAGGTCTCCATAGGGCAGCATGGACCAGTTAGCATGGCTGAGAGACCGGAGTCCAGCAATTGTAAATCAGGTTTACAGTGCGGTGTTGACACTCAAACACAGGCTTAGAAATACTGAGTTCACAAGCCTGAGTTCCACAAATCCAGGTTTACTTGGCAGTACAGGTAATACCCATCTTGTTTTGTGAGGCAGCATTTGCTCACTTCTCCATTCCTTGCTGTGATGAGTGGGCTTCTACCAGTCTCTTATTGACAAGACAAGCAACAGCAGGCAGGAACATGTCTCTCCTTAGCAGTTCTACAAGATACTGACACTAATGTTTCACTGGTGTCTAAAAGGCTCCTTTTTTCTTCATTGTTTTAATCAGTTTCATATCAACAACTTTACCCATTTACTGCTGCAGCCAGAAGCCTGAGCTGTAATATTTTGACACCAGAACTAACTCAGTCATTACTTGCTCCAGTGACTCTAACCTTAAACCCTAACCCTGAAGCCTGCTTTCATCATCTCTCCCCTTAACAGTGGCCAGTTGGTGCTGCCAGTCTTCAAAAGTTATCACATTACAGGCAAAGAAATGCCATTAATCTGAGTGTGAGACCTCATGTCACTCGACCAGTAAGAGACTGGTGAAAACCGTGTCATCTTGGGAAGGAATGGAGAAATCGCCAAAAGTTGCTTAACTCTCAGTAAGGGCTTTGGATGGAAAAATGCCAGACAGTGATGGAGGTCAGCAGAATGCCATCTGAACACCATTCATAATGATGGAGCTATATTCATTTACACCTTTTGAAGGCCTACTTCCTGAGGACTTGGGGCCTGTCCATGTGGTAATTAGTAAGAATTCTGCCACTAACACACTCTTCCATGGAAAACACATTTCTATCTTGATTGTATTTCTGTTGGATGTAAATGGTTAGGTATGTTGTGGAAAACCAAACTTTCCATGTAGAATCCTGTTTTGTTCCCTCTCTAGAGATAGGTACAAATAGAAAATGATACTGGTCAAAGTTTCTAATCAATTTGGATTTGTTTCCATTTCACTTGGAAGCCAAAGTTGTGTTTGTATAGAAAAGTTCATTTAAAAAACCATCAGGGAGATCGTTACGACTGAAGGAATAAAAACATTTTCCTATAGATGTATAGAAGGACTAGAAATGACTTAGCAGCCTGGAGGAGATGACATGCAGCACTCTTCAGTAAAGAACTAGAACTACCAAGTTTTATTTTTACTTTATTATTGACAAATAATTGTCTCCCTGTCCAGATTTCCTCTAGTACTATATGATTGTTGCAAGATGAGGAAAATTTTACCATGCAATTTTGAGTCCGCAAAACCCAATTTCCATAAAAAGAAACAAAACAGTTCTTCTCCAAAAAGTAAAATTAAAAACAAGCAGCTTAACAGTTTAAATGGAAAACCAGGAAATCTCACTATGAAAAAAGAACTCCTGCCAGGAGACGTGAGCTGTTTTTTCCATTGTTCTCATGGTTGTCTATTTTAAAAACCAATACAAACAAGTCCTGCTAGTTAACCAGTGTAGTTTTCGGTAAATAAAATCTTCTTTTATAATTCCCCTTTTTTAATGTTGAAAACTAGAAGCCCATTTAAAAAAGAACTACTTAGAGGTGACATCACATCAATAATATTTGTGTTACAGCAGTGCCTAGAATCCCCAGGCAGCCCAGAGCCCCATTGCATAAGCACTGTTCAGTCACAGGCCCCCATCCTTCACAGTGGTATGAGTGAGCACAGCTGTCCACCTCTGCAGATCACATTGCAAGTTTGGGGATGTAGAATTCAGCTGAACCCTCTCTGGAAGAAAACAGTGACCTTTTTAGCTGATTAGAATGGGAAGCTTTAGGTGGATATCAGTAACCTTTCTTCAGTATGATGGGATAGGTTGTACCCTCAGCAAGATCACATATGACACCGAGCTGCGTGGATGATAGGGTTCTAAGTGACCTAGACAAATTGGAGGATTTCGCCATAAGAAATCTATCTTTCAACAAAGACAAGTGCAAAGTCTTGCACTTAGGATGGAAGAATCTCACACGCTGCTACAAGCTCGGGACCAACTGGCTAAGCAGCATTTATGCAGAAAAGGACCTGGGGATTACAGTGGATGAGAAGCTGGATAGTGAGCTCCTTGTTGCCAAGAAGGCAAATGGCATATTGGGAGTGCATTAATAGTAGTATTGCCAGCAGATCAAGAAAGTGATTATTCCTCTTTATTCAGCACTAGTGACGCTACATCTGTAGTGGGAGGCCCAAAACTGGATGCAATACTCCAGAAGGAATGTGGACACATTGGAGAGAGTCCAGTAGAGGACAGCAAAAATGATTGGAGACTGGGGTACATGACTTTTGAGGAGACACTCAGGAACTTGGCTTATTTAGTCTATATAAGAGAAGTTGGGGGGGGGGGAGGTCAGGGAATTTGATAATAGCCTTCAACTTCCCGAAGGGGGGTTTCAAAGAGGATGGAGAGAGTCTGTTCTCAGTGGTGGCAGATGACAGAACAAGGAGCAATGGTCTCAAGTTGCAGTGGGGAGTTATGTTGGAGATTAGAAAAAGCTATTTCATTAGGAGAGTGGTGAAGCACTGGAATGGGTTATCCATTTAGTTGGGGTTAAGGATGTTAAATATTGGTTAATTGACTAGTTGAGTAGTCGATGGAATTTCCATCGACTAGTCGATAGGCACTTCTGCATTCCTCCTTTGAAATGTACAACAGCCCCCACTGGGGCTCTTCTATATTTCAGAGGAGGAATGTGGAACACAGTGTGCAGCCCGGGGCCAGCAGAAAGTCTCACCGACTCCAGGCTGCATGCAGGTGCCAACTTTGAAGTGTACAAGAGTCCTCTTGTGCATTTCAAATTGGCAGTGCAGCATGGAGCCTGAGGTCAGCGGGAGACTCAAAGACTCCTGCTGACCCTGGGCTCCATGCTGCACTGCCGATTTGAGATGCAACATGGAGCCGGGATCAGCTGGGGAGTCCTCAGCTGACCCCGGGTTCCACAGTGCCACTTGAAAACGCCGCCTCGGTTGGAATACGGAGGCAGAGTTCAAAGGGCAGCGCTGCAAAGCTAAGCCACTGGAGATCAGCTGTGCGGCGCTGCCCTTTGAAGTACCCCCTTCCCCTCCCCCTTTGTTGCCTCTATCTGATAGATGCAACAAGGGGGGGGGAATCAACTAGTCGACTGACTATCTGATAAGCTTTTGCTTATTGGATAGTCAACTAGTCCTGAACATCCTTAGTTGGGGTTAGTCCTGCTTTGAACTGGAGGGTTGGGAGAGACTACTGAGGGTCATCTTCTATCATATTTTTTCCATTCCCTACCCTGTTGAAATATGAGGAAGAACAATGAATATTACGGTCATCCGTATTTGTCCCGTTTTTCCATAGTGATTTCCTCCAACTCCTATCCCCTATAGCCACACATTGCATTTGCTATGATTTCATTCCTCTCCAGGGAATAAATGGGTCCTTAATAATCAAAATGACAATGTATAAACATATGGAAACAGAATATTTCAGTCTCCAGAAAGTTGTCTGAATTTCTAAAGTCTTTTTATGGTTTTTTTTCCCCTGTCCCAGCCACTGTTTCCTGTGGAAAATAATTAAAATGACAGTGTTGCTTTAAATAGGGATGTTTTTCACTGTAGCAAAGTATCAGCAAAGCATGGGCCCATTGAACAAGAGCCACAGCTGTCTGCATTTTTTTAAGAATCCATCAAAGCAATATTTTATTGGCTTCCTGGCGTATTTGTTTCTTTGTGAAAGCTAGATGGACTCTTGAAAAAAGAGCAAAGATTTGTTCGAGTTGTTCCAAACATGCATTACAACATTTTTATGGCTTAGCTGGGATTAGATCTGGGAAATCGCATAAAGGCTATCTTATTTGCAAGAAATTTCTGTTGAAAGCAGCAACGTCGGTTGTGAAACACACCTGCTGTAAAAGCTCCAAGATTAAATTGAGTTGCACCAAATCTACAGTGGATTAGAAAAACAGAGCACATTATTGCTTGA